ATTTTCCCATCAAATTAATTTAATTGTATTTGTTTTATGATGAAAATTATTGTAAGATTATTATTTAAATTTTTATGAACCTTTGGATATTTTATTATATTTTTTGGATTTATAAAATTAAAGATATTGATTTTACAATTGTTTAAATATGCAAATAATATTTTAAAATATTTTTATTAATTTTAAATATATAAAAATATCATGGAGGCCCATTGTGCACATGGGCCCGCCATATTTTTAGAAGGTGGGGCCCATGAGTGCCTCCCTTGGGGGGTACGCCGCACTCTTATTTTCTTTCCTATTTTTTGGTGATATGACATGTGGTCATATGGTTGGAAGATATTGACTAAATATTGACTTCATATATCTTTGAAAGATTTTGTGGAAAGATTGAATAGACTTGTGCTATTTTATGGTATACACAATATTTTGATTAGATTTAATTTATTTAATTTTTATTGATGAAAAAATGATTTAGGAAAGGGGGATAATGGTTCATGCACCTTCCATAATGTTGATGGCCCATCTATGGAATGGATGACTCAGATCTCTCACCCCCTAAGTCACCCTTGATCGACGGTCTATGTTCAATTTCACAAGAAGAGGCAAGCCAAAAAAACCCTAAGAAACCCTAATCTTATTTAAAGTTATAAAAATGGATTGTCTCTACCAAAAAATCTCTACACCTTATCTTTCTATCTCTATCTCTTAAGAAAATATATTTCTCTCATGTTTGATCTCTCTCTCCCACATTGTGAAAGAACCTAAGGGTTTAGGTTATGGAGTTCTTCTCTCCTGTATCTCAAATATGGATTTATTATGGCTAAGGGTTTTAAGGTTTAGCAAAAAGAGAAGTCATCTCTCTCAAACTAGGTTGCTAAGAGAATTCACTTAGGGTTTGAGTTTGTGATCAAAGGGGTTCGAGTTTGTGACCAAAAGGGTTCATGTTCCATTGGTGTGGCTTGGCCAAAATTGCTTTCTCGGTTCGAGATTGAAGCTAAACCGTTGATCACACGCCATCAGATGGTGGTGACTCGGTGTGGGGTATAATAAGCCCGGTTGAGGTAATCTCCGACACTCTTCCTTTTGTTTCTTGCAATCTTATCGTTTATTCTCAAGCATAGTGCATAGTTGTTTCAATGGCATCAAGTTATTAAGATATTGGTTTTATTGTTATATTGATTTTATTTTGAAATTTATCTTATTCTAATAAAGACCACATGTAAGTGATCTTTTGCCAAAAGAAAGGGGTGAAGGAAAAAAAAAATGTATTCCCCGGTAAATGATCATATAGGTATTTCTTTCATTGGTATTAGAGCTATTGATATTTGATGTCATTAGTTGTCTTTCTTTTTATTAAGTTAAGATGAAGCTTGAAAATGAGATATAAGAAAGCTAATGATCTTTGTGGTAAAAAAAATACACCCACGATTTAGAATTATTGAAATACTCCAACACCGAAAAGGCGCTCTGTAGAATGAGTATTCTGGGCTATTTTAGAGTAGTGATATGAATAAGATAATGAGGTATTTTTCTATTATATACTTCAGTGATATTTTGTGTCTTTAAGAGTAAGATCTACCTGAAAAATTTCAGTAGGAGATTTTAAAGGAATTGAGAGTTATGTAATCATCAATGAAGGGTGTCAGTTCTGACCCTGCAAAATCCAAGAATTGTCCATTGAGTTCCGTGATTTTTCCCACCAATCACATAGTTTGATTTCTTGCTGAAATTTTACTATAACCCACAAAATTGAGTTGACTTTGAAGCAAAAAACGTTTAATAAAAAAAGTCCTTGTGGTTTGAAAGATATGATCAATTTATTGAAGGATGTGCAAGTGTTGTTTTCTGCAACGAAATTATTTTCATGACTTTGAAGCTAAGATTTAATTTATATTTTTAACAGAATGTTTTATGGTTCACACTTAGTTTTTAAACATCCATTCTGAGTCTAATTTGTAATTAAATTTATTTGAGAGAGAAATATCTATGGGAAGAGAGGAATAAAAATTTTGGATTGAAGAGAGGTCATCATGAATTTTCTATAATTTGGTAAGTCCTTCATTGAAGACATGAATATCGATATTTATGAAGCCTATTTAATGGAGTGATATTAAGGCTTGTGAAAATATATATGTTACTATTATGTGTCTATTTTCAAGCAAAATTGGTTTGAAAGAGAAACTCCATGATGGTAGAGAGAAAAGACATATTTATTAGATAGAATTCATCCTGAAATTCTGCAGTATGATTTATTTTGTGACGTGAATGTCACTTATTTATTTCTCTAAAAAAAATATTATTTGGGATTCAAACTATGATGTTATGATTTGGTTTTGAGTCTAGTTTCAACACAAAATATTTCATGAAAAATTGTTTGAGGATTGAGAGAAACAAATTTTTTATTGAGAGGTGCTCAACGTAATTTTCAATTGAAAAATTTGCATTGTGACGTAATGTCACTAAAATGTATAGGGATGAAGCTAAGCAATATTTTATATTTTTTGAGTCTATTTCAATACTCAAAAGAATTCGAAGATTAACTCTTTATGAGTTGAGAGATATCATATTTTTATCATAGGATGCTCAAGTTCTATTCTGCAGTAAATTAAAAGATATGGCATATTAAGGCACATCATTTAATTCTCAATTATGGAGACCTTTAAGACTCATTTTAAAAAGCTTTATAGTGTGTCATGAGTATAGTTTATTGTAGTACGACTTCAGAGAGATGTAATGCAGAGTTAACAAGATAAGAGACTCTGTGTTAAGAGTATTCGATTTGGGAATAGCAGAAAGAAGAAGAAACACAATACCTATAAAAACATCTTGGCTTCTTCGGAATGAAGGGATATATAGAGAGACTTGGTGGTAGCATAGAAATGCTAAAGATCAGTGGGAAAATCGAAATTGTGATATTTGAAATAATGGGATGAAGAAGATATTTTCTTCTCGGTGTAGGATAGGAGAATCCAAGCGTCGAAGAGATGGACATTTCGTGACATGTGAAACCAATGACCAATATATTCTCCATCAGTTGCGTGCACTTCCAAGATCACAAAAGCTTGCCAAACAAGTAAAAGCGATGAATCAAGAAAGCTCAGGTACCTCACTACATAATTTTGAGGTATAAAATCTATCCCACATTATATGGTAAGGTCATATAAGGAAAGGTCATATAGGAAAAGATGATTCAATAACTTTGCTTAATGTGCTTTGGTTATATTTTGGCTAATCGTTTTATGAATATGTATGGAGTGTATGGATATTAAGTGATAAGTGCTAACAAATTTGAAAGTGTCGATTTTGAATACCTTGTGTTTTTGTACATCCTTGTGCTTGAGTATAAACTACTTAAGGTAGTGATATACATGGAGATACGATTTGATCAAAGGATTTGAGCCCTAAGGATGAAACACGAGAGATGGGTGTGGCTCATTCAAATAAGTAAGCACAAAGGGAGTGTTTTGATGGAACTTGGTCTTGGTGACCATCCTCTCAATAATGTCTATAATATGATGTGTTGCATGTGATGATGATATCTTGATAACTTCTTCATAATTTCCAAAAAGGAAGTCTTTTGTCAAAGCTTTAATAGACATTATTTTGTCGTGCTACATTTTGGATAAATTTATAAGATGATAAATATGATTTGTTTTTGTGGCCATGAACTTGACTTGGTAGGAAATTAAAGATGAATGCGGTAAAATGATTTGTGAAGGCTAAGCATGTATTTTATAATTAAATTTGATGATTTTATTTTATAATTAAATTTGATGATTTGAGAAAAGCCTAAGTCTATGAATATGGTTTTGAGAAAACCACATAGTCATGCAAGGTCCATTAAGTTTTTATGAAAATTAGTTTAAACTGTCATACTGTTATATAACTATTGCTTGTGAATGCATATATATATACCAAGTCAATTTTTTTTATTAAAAAGAAAATTTTTTTGCCTTGGATGTATTTATAAAAGTCTGAAAAAAACTATCATGCACTGTTTTTTTTTTATTTTTTAAATACATATATGCCTTGACCCATATTTCTAGTTATATAGAATCTTCGATTACCTAAGACTTTGAACTATATGGAATGTTATAGGAATGCCATCATGTTGGGCTTCCCTGACACATATTATGTTGATTAGATAACTTGGTTTGTATGTATTTACTACCAAGATGGTTGAACCTTTGTGGTTCATGAAGGTTTTTGTATATTGTGAAACCAATGAGTATTGAATTACATATTGCATGAGACTTGATATGCTACCTAATGATATATGCATAAAAATGTTGAGAATGTATATGTTGTATGTGCAATAATTGAGTGGGAGCTGCTACAGTCCCTCAGTTTTTTTAGCTATTTGGATATTCAGATATACAGGTGCAAGCTATCTCACAGATCCAGATGATGCGAAGTCTACATCTGGATATGTGTTCATGCTTGGAGTGGGTGCAGTTTCTTGGAAATCAAAGAAATATGATGTGACGAAATTGTCCACCATGAAGGCAGAGTACGTGGCGTGTTATTTGGTGATTGAGGAGGCCGTATAGATTAAGAAATTTCTTAATCGACTTGACTTTCACCTCGTGCGTTGTGAGACAGTAAGAATTTTCTGCGGCAGCAAGGTGACGATATGCGTGTCAAAGAAGCTACGATTCCATAAGCACTCCAAGCATATAAAACCATGTTTTTATCACCTGAAGAATGATGTGGGATTGAGAACGATCGAGATCCAGATAAACTAAATATTCTAGTGGGAGCACCTGCTAGTATTTGACATGCCAAATGGAACAACAAACTGTAATGTTGTTTACCTATGGAACCCAAACGTTTGGTGCTGGTTGTATGGCTACAAAAGGGAGCAGCATATTTGAAGAATCCTTTTGAGCTCATGAACATACGACCCCATGCGATGAGGGTACGTGCTGTTCTTTTGCGACAACAGGTCCATGATTCGCAATGCAATGTGAAAGATGAGCTACGACCATTTTTGGGATAAGATCCGAGTAGCAAAGAGAAACTGTACTGCCTCTATAAATCCTTTTTGTGAAAGGATTGATGGCGAAAGCCATGATTAATGCATTGAGAGAATAAGTAAAATGCTTGCGAGAGATTCTAATTGAGAGAGAGATGGGAATAAAAGAAAGTGAGAAAGAGAGAATGTAAGGCATTCAAAGGCCAAGTGGGAGATGTTGGATTTATGTGGCTTTTAAAATTCTTATGAGTGCTTGTAAAATGAAATGATATAGTGGAACATGAACTCAGTGAGAGTGTGGTCCCTTGTGGACCATACTAAGCAAACGATGGTTTGCTGGTACCAATCTGTGCTTAACGATCAAGGTCAGTTGGTTGGGAAAGACTCATGTTACATGGGCATGAAGAGCAAACCAATGAGGGTTTATGGGTTAGCCCTTGATGAGGTTGGAGAACAAGCCTGGATGAGTGAGCCGAGGGATTGTGTGACCCTTATTTGTGATGGTGGCCTATAGAGACAGGGGCCAAAACCTCATCCATGTACCATCACATGGCATGCATATCGATAGATCATTCGAGAAAGCCAGAGATCCACCTTTTAGGGTGAAATGTATGCATGTGCGAGAGATACCCCTATACGCCATAGAGCTGTGGTCGCATAAAGTTTTGGTGACCTTGACTTGTCTCCAAGGGAAGACCTGAAATCCACAAACTGGGATTACGATCTCTCGGCTCATAGACCAGACTTTGGTGACCCGCTAATGAGCCTCTGCTTGGACTGTGGGTCATGAGAAACACTAGGTCGGTCTGATAAAACAAGTGTGGTCTGTAGTCCACAGTTGAAGGTAGAGTGCCCCATGATTGTTGATTCCTAAATCATATGGATCATTTTCCCATCAAATTAATTTAATTGTGTTTGTTTTATGATAGAAATTATTTTAAAATTATTATTTGAATTTTTATGAACCCCTGTATATTTTATTTATAATTTTTGGATTTATAAAATTAAAGATATTGATTTTTTAATTGTTTAAATATTCAAATAATATTTTAAAATCTTTTTATTAATTTTAAATATATAAAAATATTATGGGGGCCCATTGAGTATATGGGCCGCCATATTTTTTGAAGGTGGGGCTCATGAGTGCCTCCCTTGGGTGGCACGACTCACCCTTATTTTCTTTCCTATTTTTTGGTGGTATGGCATGTGGCCATATGGTTGGAAGATATTGACTAAATATTGACTTGATATATCTTTGAAAGATTTTGTAGAAAGATTGAGTCGACTTGTGTTATTTTATGATATGCATAATATTTTGATTAGATTTAATTTATTTAATTTTTATTGATGAGAAAATGGTTTAGGAAAGGGGGATAATGATTCGTGCACCTTGCATAATGTTGATGACCCATGTTTGGAATGAATTACTTAGATCTCTCACCCTACAAGTCACCCTTGATCGACGGTCTATGTTCAATCTCACAAGAAGAGGCAAGCTAAAGAAAACCCTAAGAAACTCTAATCTTATTCAAAGCCTATAAAAATGGATTGTCTCTACCAAAAAATCTCTATACCTTATCTTTCTATCTCTCTCTCTTAAGAAAGTTTATCTCTCTCATGTTTAATTTCTCTCTCCCACATTGTGAAAGAACCTAAGGGTTTAGGTTATGGAGTTCTTCTCTCCTATATCTCAAATAGAGATTTATGGCTAAAGGTTTTAAGATTTAGCAAAAAGATAATCTATTTCTCTCTAACTAGGTTGCTAAGAGAAATCACATAGGGTTTGAGTTTGTGATCAAATGAGTTCATGTTCCATTAGTGTGGCTTAGCCGAAATTTGCTTTCCCGGTTCGAGATTGAAGCTAGACCGTTGATCTCGCGCCATCAGATGGTGGTAACTCGGTGTGGGGTGTAATAAGTCCGGTTGAGGTAACCTCCGGCACTCTTCCTTTTGTTTCTTGCAATCTTATCGTTTATTGTCAAGCATAATGCATAGTTGTTTCAATGACATCAAGTTGTTAATATCTTGGTTTTATTGTTATGTTGATTTTATTTTGAAATTTATCTTATTATAATAAAGACCACATGTAAGTGATCTTTTGCCAAAAGAAATGGGTGACGGAAAAAAAAAATAAAATGTATTACCTGGTAAATGATCACATAGGTCTTTCTTTCAAGGCAGAGGCCTAATAAAGAGGCAAACATCCTCTCTCTCTGACATTTTATAGTGCTTGGTACAGTGTTTTGCAGGGTAGTGTGGGCGAGTATTGCTTCCATAACTGCAAATCAGCACCAATTATAATTGTCCTTGGGAAAGGTACATTAGATTTTTTTTGACAGCCTCGTGTTTATTGTTTTGCAAAGGAAAACAGGGAATTTCACCATATTGTTATTTATTGTTCTAAATGGGTCAGTGGATTCAAATCTGTTTTGCATTTTGACAGGTGCTGGAGAGTTATCTATTTGATAAAAATAAGCTTGACTATATTTAAGGGTATTTTGGGTATTAGATTTAAATATAAAAGACATTTTGGGAAAGTTATGTTAAGGGTAATTTTGAAATGATGTAAAAAAATTATGTAGAGTTCCAAGATCACAATTCCAAGATTAAGAGAGAGTAATTCCAAGATTGAGAGAAAAGAGTTCCAAGATTGAGAAAAAGGAGTCCAAAGAATGCAATAATGTATGCAAACTTGAATTGGAAATGAGTGAAGTCTAGAATTTTTTTGAATAATCTTGTAATTTCGTCCAAGCATATAGGTTGTAAGTTATGAGAGGGAAATCATCACAAGAATAGTGTAGAAAGAGTCTAGAAAGCTCCTAAGTGGTATATATATATATGTACTATATTTTTGTAAAGAAATTGTGTTGAATAGAGCTCTATTGTGTGTATAGTACAAATTTTAAAAGTAAGCCTTCTTCCTCCCTATTTTCTACTACTATTCTCTAATCCGACGGGATGAACTCACCTTTCACGAGAAGATTTCAGTCATGCTTCCCTTTTCTTTACCTTTCTATCTTTCAAGTTCTCATTTTCCTTTATGCTTTTTCCTTTATGCCTTTTGTCTTTAGAGTTTGTTTCTGTTTGCTTGGATTGTTTTGAGATGCTTTTAGTGTATATTGGGATATTTAAAATCTTCATGGGTTTTGAATTCTTGAAAGTAATATAGGTATTAGTGCCATCAGGGGATTCAAATCGTGAGTGGAAAGCTCTACCTATTTATGAAGCAACTGTGTGTGTTTGTGTGAGAGAGAGCACATGCTCTTCCATAATTTGGAGGGTTTCATTTGTGAAATGAGTTAAGTTTAGTGCCTTAATTATCAGGAGAATCATGTGTAAAACACCATTTTCTTCATTAAAACAGGTTGAGCTCCAAGTAGTAGAACGAGAAAGGCGAAGAGAACGGGGAGGGTTTTGTTTGGGGGGAGTGCACAGAAAAAAGGTTATAGGGCAATATTAGCTAAAACCATTGAAAGTTGATAGGTCCTGACCTTTTTTTATATGACTTTTTTTTTTTTAAGACTATGGACATGGCAAATACAAATCTATAAAAAATTTGTCATCCCAAGGACTGATGCAATAAGCCCAACATCTCGACGGATCGGATGGCTATAATCGCGTTTTGTCTTTGGAGTTAAATTATACCTTGGCCGATCAGATGATTATAATCATGTTGTTTTTTAATTTTAATTTTTATTCTACAAATCTAAATCACTTGAAATTTGGAGTGTACTATTGAATAACTAAATTAAAATATTAAAAAATAATTTATAAAAATAAATTGATCAAAATACTTTTAAAATTTTAGGAGTATTTTGGTTAATTTATTTTTATAAATTATTTTTTAAATATTTTTATGAATAATGCCTTAATAAGAAAAGCGAACGTTTCAAATTTAAAGTGATTTGAATTTACAGAAAAAATATTCAAATTCAAATACAAAATACAATTATAATTGTCAAATAGACACATATTCAATTTGGGCTATTGGGCGTATACTATCGCATCAGCCTTGGCTCAGATTGAATCTTGGCTGATTTGATGGTCTTGATTGTTTTTCGTAATTAAATTTTAATCTTCTTTATATAAATCCAAACCAATTGACATTTTGAGCGTCCACTCTTTTCATTAAAGTACACCTAATAAAATATTAAAACAATTTGTAAAAAATAAATTGATCAAAATATTTTTAAAATCTTTGGGGTATTATAGTAAATTGAATAGTATTTAACAAATGCCAGTTATCTGATTAGGTAGGATCTCCATCGGACATAAAATCTACTACATGCTATGGCACCTTTGTTGGAGGAAAGTTGTTGGCATGGAAAAGCAAGAAACAATGTGGTACTAGGTGTAGTTTAGAGGCTGAATATTGTGCAATGACTCACACTACATGTTAGCTATTGTGGCTGAAAAACCTTGATGCAGGAGTGGAATTCATAGTTATTGAGCCAATAAGGATGTTGGGTGACAACCAATTAGCCATCCATATAGCTAGCAACCTAGTATTTCATGGGAAAACACAACATATTGAAGCATATTGTCATTTTATTCAAGAGAAACTAGCATGTGAGCAGATAACTACTCCATTTGTTAAATACTCACTACTATCACGTACTTACTTACC